GTCTGGATCGCCGTGTTCCTGACCTTACCGAAAACAAATAATTCCGAACAATCAACAGTAATCGAACTCCCTTTTATACCGAGTACATAAAACTGTTGGTACTCAATGGACGCAGAATTTAATGTCTTACAATTTTTATTCTATGAGTTTTTTCTTTTAGAAAACTGATTTCCAAGCTGCAGAGCAATTAATATTAATTCATCTGAGAGTTCGGTAATAATCAGCCATCGTTGGCCGTGGTTATCGATAACCACTTAATAAATAAAGTTTAGGCACTCGTTCGACGCACAATTTAAATTAGTTTTTTAGTTCTTAAACAAGACGCATTTTGTTTCGATACACCACTTAGGAGTTTATGGAAAAAAACAAAGAAACATCGAAAATATCAGGGTTTTTTTTTTACTGCGCTAACAATTTTTTTTTTGTTTACATCAAACAACCAACAACTTTTTCCACATTTTTGTAATAATTTTCCTGTTTCGATTTTAAAGTTATTGGTCTAATATTCATTAAATCAACCGCCATTTTTACAGGTAGCAAGATCCAATTGCCAGACTCTGATTTTTTTAATATAGATGTTATAAAGATTCATAAAAATCCTTTCAAAGTTTTCATCATTTAATGTCGATTTTAATTCCATTGCCTATATATATATTAATTATTATTTAAATGATATTTATATACTGTATAAAAAAAAATACATCTAGTGAATTCGTGCATGGATATAATGACACGAAACTCATGTTGAGAAAGTACCCATTTGTAGCACTCTAATAATATGTCTATATTAGGAGATCACGGGGCCATCTTCTTTTCAGACGCCTCGGAGGGTTATCAGGAATTGAATAGGAAGCAAGGTTAGAAACAAGAGGGTTGGGATGGTTATGAAGTTTATTATGGAAGGATAGGTATCTGGATTGGGCCAGATCTGAAACATAAGGAACATTAAGGTCATTATGGATGGTTTTATTTGTAACAAAGTAGGAGCATTGAGGATTTTACGAAGGATTTTGGATTGTAAGGATTGGATACGAGAGGAATTCGATGGTTTAGTGGAGCCCCATAGCTCAACTCCGTAAGTCCAAATAGGCCTTATTATAGTCATGTATATGAGTCTTTTGTAATTAATTGGAAGTTTAGAGCGTTTGTCTAGTAAGTGTTGAAGTAGTCGGAAACGTCGAGCGGTTTCTTGTCGTTTCAGTTTGGTATGAGGATTCCAAGTTAGACGTTTGTCCAGGTGGAGTCCTAGGTAACGGATTTTTTTTTTTTTTAAATTTATTTATTACCAGATCGGCCTGGTGGGCCTTACATGGTTGTTGTAACAATTTGATGATTTTTAACAATTTGTTCTGGTGGAGTATAGTCTTTGCAAAAAACACCCCTAACTATTTATACATTATAATTACTGAATAATTACAATTAATAAGGAGAAAATTATTAATTGTTCATAACATGATGTCTTGGATCAGTCTGGGCTTCAGTCTTCGAGATGAGGTTGGGTTTCCTAAGTTGTAGGCCACTGCACCTTTAACTGCTGGTAGCTGCGTATGGAATTTTTTAAATCGTTTTTTGATGAATTCATCTATTGTTTCCAATTTTAGTTCTCGATGTAGTTGAGCGTTTCTTATGAACCAGGGGGCATCTACTGCAATTCTTAATACCTTGCTTTGAAAGGATTGTAGTTTTTTTCTTTTCGTAGCTGAAGCGGCTCCCCAGACTTCACATCCGTACATTAGCAAGGGTCTTAGTATGGTTTTATGAATAAGAACAGTTGTCTCTGGTTTTAAACTAGATTTTCTATTTACTATGGGATATAACATTGCTAACCTTGCGTATGTTTGGGTCAGTTTATTATTTATATGGTAATTCCACGTAAGGCGGCGGTCCAGATAAACTCCGAGGTATTTTACTGCTTCACTAGCTGGGTTCCATTTTAGTTCTTTATTTTTGAGAATCAGTTCAGGAGGGTCTGAGGGACGTCTAAGAGTAAAAATTTTTGCTGTACATTTTTCGGTGTTGAGACAAATCATCCATTTTTTTAAATATTGTTCTAGATTTACTAGGTAAGACTGCAGTGTATTTCAGGCTATTAATATGTTGGGAAAAGACAGCTGTATCGTCGGCAAACATAGTTATGGAGGTGTTTGTGGATTGGATAATGTCGTGAACATAAAAGTTAAAAAGTATGGGAGAAAGAACAGAACCTTGTGGGGTGCCGGCATGGATTTGTCTTAAGGTTGAATTTATATTATTTATTCTAACTGTAAATGTTCTGCCGTTGAGGAATGAGCTCAGAACGTCATATAAATATTTGGGCGTGTCCACTTTCTTTAGCTTGTACAATAGACCACAATGCCAAACCTTATTAAACGCTTGTTGAAAGTCTAAAAACGTGACAAGAGTATGTTTTTTCATTTAAAATCCCTTTACTAGGAATTCTGATAATCTTGCCAGTTGGTGTGAAGTGGAATGACTATACTGAAAACCAAATTGAAAATCAGGAATAATGCTATTACATTGTAAAAAGGATGCAAGATGTCTTTTTATGACTGACTCTAGTAATTTTCCAACTATGGGTAATAAACTTATCGGTCTATAGCTACTGACTTGTTTAGCGTTTTTACCATGCTTATGAATTACTACGAGTTCAGCTTTCTTCCACGTTTCGGGAAAATATCCAGTGCGTAGACAGCTATTAAAAATAGGCGTAATGTAAACGAGAGCTTTTCTAGGAAAATTTTTTAAAGCAATAACTGGTATAAGGTCATTAGGTAACGGATTTGTTGAACAGGAATAAGTGGGGTGTTATTAAAGGATATTGAAGGACAGGAAGTCATTGGTTTACGATCCTATATATGAAATATCTCGTAAGGGACAGTATTACGATCCTTAAATTTTTTGAATCTGAGTTTTCAACGGAAATACATATTTTGAGGTCTCCTGAGTCCAAATAACCAAGTACCGCAAAATGGTCTGTGCGAAAAGAAAAAAGAGTAAGCGAGTAAAATAATGATAAAAATGCGCGGCAAAAACATTTTTTTTTTATAATTACGAGGACGGGTATCTCGAAAACTATAGAAGATAACGAAAAAATGAATATAACCATTACCGTTGACAAATTTTGTCAGGTTTAGTTATTTTTTTCCTCAAAAAACATTATCATCGTTATTATTTATATATAAATGCATATATACATATATTTTCAATTTCCTTTTATTGTCCAAGGGCATTTTAAGGTAAGAGGGTTATGCACGCTGTATGCGTTCAACGCCTCTGGCCACAGATGCAAGGAACGCATACAGCGTGCATAACCCTCTTACCTTAAAATACCCTTGGGCAATAAAAGGAAATTGAAAATTTATGTATATATACATTTATATATATATATATATATATATATATATATATATATATATATATATATATATATATATTGTATTTTGTAATCAAGAAATTCCTGGGGAGTAGGAAAAAAAAAAAAAAAAAAAATATATATATATATATATATATATATATATATATATATATATATATATCATCGCAAGAACGCATAATTGCACAGTTATAAATGAAAAACCGAAAAAAATGAACTTTCTGAATCGTAAAATCAAATTTTCGACTTGAAATCCACGGGGATGGGTTAACTGACCATTACTTCATGTCTTAAAACTTTAAAAAAGTCTCTATCTTTCTTCACCTGGCCGCCATATTGTATTCCAGCGCCTATATGCTATATGCAGACGTGCATTTTTCTCATGAGGCCTATGGATATGGTCAATTTATAAGGACAAACTTTAGTAAAAAATATGATAACTTGATTGACCAGTTTCTGTAAACAGTAATTTTTTTTTCGTTACCTACTACCCCTTCATTTCTGGTATACGAAGAAGGGAGAGAATGTTGTTCCAGAGGTACAACCAAATCTATTCTGAACAGAGTGGAAAGGTCGAGATTCATTCCATGAAAGAAGTAAATTTTAAATAGAGCATAGTGGAGAGGAGTTATGGATTTCCTTTATTCGTGGCTACATCATTACGGCTATCCACGGGCGGATCTACGGGGAGGGGGGCTTTCAGACTGGAACCTCTCCCCTCCTCCCCAAAAATGGTAAAATATAACCATGTTTTATGGAAAAAAAGTATTTAAAAATTATCTCTTAATGTATTATTGTTCGTGTTGATGGTAGTATTTAACACTTATCTCGAATTTTCAGCCTTAACCATTTTATTCGAAATCCAGCGGACACTTTACCGAAAGTGTACTTCTTACGAAAAAAATTCCACTCATTGACTATTTTGACTAGTTATTGTGCAATTTTTAATTACTTAAATTTAATATTTTTTATATATATCGCTTCATATTATACAAAAAAAACCTGACTACTTAAATATTGAATTTCCTACTTTTCTGCGTAACATTAGATCATTGTTTAAATAATAATTCTTGTAGTTCTTGATGTCTGCTATTATACCTTTAAATATTTTGCTGTACTTACGGACATCCTTAACCATCTTCTATAAACGTTCGGGTTGAATCTGGTCACTGGGATCTCTATACAAAATGGCGGCCATGTGAAGATTGATAGAGACCCTTCATAGGTTGCACGGGCAGATCTACTGGGGCGGGGGCTTTCGGGCTGAAGCTCCCCCAAAATGGTAAAATATAACGATGTTTTACGGAAAAATTTATTAAAAAATTATCTCTTAAAGTATTATAGTTCGTGTAATTACATTTTAAAGGACTTAAGAAATCACTTAAACACCATTTCATATATATAATTAGTATCTTTCTTTTTTTTTTTTCAAAGTAATTACCGTCATTTTTATTAAAAAAAAAAAAGGTTTCAGGCTGAAGCCCCTCCCAAAAATTAAATCCTGGATCCGCTAGTGCGGCTATCTAATTAACTTTCACAATCAACTAATATATATATATATATACATCACAATTAAAATTTTATTTTATTAATGCTTTTACTTTAATTGAAGCTAAAATATACTATCGACTTTCAGATCACCAGACTCTCCCACTTCGACTATGTCACCCCCGAGGACCTGGAGAAGATCAGCATGGGCAGGCCTGCCGCCCGGAGACTGCTGGAGGCCGCCAAGAAGAGAAGGGCCTCGCAGTGGAGGAAGAGCCTGCTGAAGAGGGTGATCCCCGGGGTTGCCACGGCCAAGTCCTCCGGGAAGAAGGTCGACTCAGAGATATCTTCCGCCCTCACCTGCCTTATCCAGGAGAAAGATGTCCTGTAAGAAGTCTAATCATTCAAATATATATATATATTACTTTTACTCAGGAGTACCCAGATGGGGGTTTTATGGCGCAAGTTAAAATTAATGAGGGGGGAGATCTTTCTGATGCGATTTTCAATTTTTGAGGGGGCACATTTCGACGGGGTTATGAATTTTCAAAATAAAAAGTTTCAAATCAAAATACAAGTGGGATCATTGAACAGACCACATGATGTGTAATGAATGGTATATAATCTACGACTATTCAGTGGACGGGCCGTTGCCTGGCAACCTGATCTATGAGACAGTGGATTTTAAAATAGTCATGAGTTCGCGTCCCGGTGCCCGAGGGAGTCTTTTAAATCCCCCCCCACACCCTCTAGCCCGGGAGAACTCCGTATAGCCTTAAAGGCGTGGAAGGTAAAGACCCCCCTCCCAAAAAAAAAAATTACGACTATTCAAATTCTACTTCGTTTGCATTGTTCTTTAGAAGAAGAGAGGAATGGGTGAAGGTTTACGCGTCATTGGTTTTGGAGGGGGGGGGGGGAGGTACTTCTGCTTTTACTGTTAAAATATCTTAATTTTTACTTTCATTTACCTATAGTAATACACGGGGACCTCCCTACCGTACATCTCCTTCCTCCCCTCTCCACATCTCTATAAATTGCATATCGTTTTGTTCCTTGTAACTATTTATTAAAAAAAAAAAAAGCCAATGTTCCCACGAAAAAAAGTGAACACACTGTTCCAAAATGGCGTCCAAATATGGCTGTCTGAAGACTTTGACTGGAGTTAGTCTTTTGGTCACTGAGAATCAGCATTTGATTTAATTTCGTCATAGTTAGCTTTTTTATAAATCTCATTAGTCATAGAATAATAAAACTTGAAACAATATTAAAAAATGGAAGTAAATGTTGCGGAGTTGCGGTCATAAATAGGCTAAATAGTGGTAAAACAATTTTATTAAAAGCCAACGTTTCGACCCGACTTTGCAGGTCTTCTTCAGAAAGGTGTGTTCAGCTAGGAGTTTCACTTAGAACTCTTAGAACTCAGTTCTAAGTGAAACCTCTAGCTGAACACACCTCCCTGAAGAAGCCCTGCAAAGTCGGGTCGAAACGTTGGCTTTTAATAAAATAGTTTTACCACTATTTAGCCTATTTATGACCGCCACCCCGGACCATCTCCTTCCTTTATAATGCAACGGTCAGCTATCAAATATTCAATATCAAAAAATAATTGGTCTAGGCAATCAAAAACTCCAGTAAAATAAATTCTTTCAACAACGAAAAATTCAAGTTGAAAATCAAGCTTTGTTTGTAATTAAACGGCCAACAGTAACGAAAAACGTGTTAAAACAAAACATCTGGAGAATATATTTCTCTTTCTAAAACACTGATTACTTTTTAAAATATTTGAAGTGGTTTTGTTTAAAATGCATTCAATCGGCGGAAAAATGGTACTGGTGCAGGTGCCTACAGGCCTCTACCACACCATCCAGTGCTCATAAATGGCTTAGTTATAGTGCTATAATAACGTATTTGGTATATTATATTGATTTTATCAACGAACAAATATTTATGCAATAATTTAATTGTTCAAAAAAAGTAAACATTTTTTTTTTGTATTTGTTTTATTTGGAATTTGAATATGATCTCTGAACACTATTTTAAATTTCTTTTGAGATAGATTGTAATATTTCTCAATACAAAAAAAAAAAAAAAAAACATTTTATAATTTGTTTAAAAATATTACTATCTTTATTATATATGGATGTCATTTAAGAATGCCTCTATTGTAAAAATGATATAATTATAATAATACAATTTAATTCAAAAATATTTCGCTGAATATCTTGTATTTTTATTTAACGTTTGCAATTTAACACTTTGTTTTGTATATTTACTAATTCCTAGAGGTAAGCTATATTGTATATACTTTTCCTGAAATGAGTCATATTAATACCTGTTTTATAAGCTAAAATAAATATATAATCAATAGGTGCCGGGTTGTTTAATATAACTGAGATATATCGCTAATAAAAAAAATAAATTCATTTTTTTATTTTCCCAAACTCTTCAATCACATATCACAAGCCTTGAAGAATGGTGTAAAAATTGGATAATAAAAATAAATTCCAACAAATCCCATCAAATCACCTTTACCCTCCGTCGTAAACCTATGACGTCTTGTCCTACAGTAACCTTCAATAATACTCCACTTATTCCTGTTGAGCAAATCCGCTACTTAGGACTCCATTTGGATAAACGTCTTACTTGGAATCCTCATACTAGTCTGAAACGACAAGAAACTGCTCGACGTTTCCGACTGCTCCAGCACTTACTACACAAACGCTCCAAACTTTCTATTAATTACAAAAGACTTATCTACATAACTATAATAAGACCTATATGGACATACGGAGTTGAGCTTTGGGGCTCCACCAAACCATCGAATTCCTATCGTATCCAATCCTTACAATCCAAAATCCTCCGTAAAATCCTTAATGCTCCATACTTTGTCACAAATAAAACCATTCATAAAGACCTTAATGTACCATATGTCGCTGATTTAGCTCGAGCCAGATATCTATCCTTTCATGATAAACTTCAGTCCCATCCAAATCCGCTTGTTTCCACTCTTGCTTCTTTCTCGATTCCTGATAATCCTCCTAGGCGTCTGAAAAGGAGATGGCCTCGTGATCTTCTTACTTAAAATTATTTAGAGAGTGCTACCACTGGTAGTAACTCTTCAAGCCTGTACATGCCATTATTTATATTTGCGCATATTTACTTGTTGTATTTGTATACAGTTGTAAATTCCATTAAATAAACAAAAAAAAAAATTTTTATTTTGTTCGAAGGTTAGGTTGCCCATATAAAAAAAAAACAGGAAATTTTAATATTGAATTCTTTATTCTCTTTGAAGAAAGATGGAAAGGGCGAAGTTCTTAAGAAGAAGTTCTTCTTGGTAATCGGAACTAATTGTTTATATTTGGAATCAAAATGAGGGAAAACGCGAAATCGAACCCAAAAATTCGTAAAATATATGAAACGAATGAAGAAGGAATTGCCAAAATAACGGAAAAGAAAGCAATGGCCAGTATCTATTATATGGCTAAACGAATATACAATAGACAGATGAACAGAATATTTCAAGGATATGCCGAAAGGGGTTCAAATGTTAGGGCAGTTTAAATTATAATAAGGAGACAATGTAGGTTAACTATGGTGAAGACCATAATATTTTTTCTGCCAATGGAATGCATTTTATACAAAATCACTTCAAATATTTTAAAAAGTAATCAGTGTTTTAGAAAGAGAAATGTATTTTCCAGATGTTTTATTTCAGCACGTTTCGCATTATTGTTGGCCGTTTACTTACAAACGACGCTTGATTTTCAACTTGAAACTTTTTTTTTTATTGAAAGAATTAATTTTACTTGTATTTTTTTTTTGTTGCCTAAGCCAATTATTTCTTAATATTGTTTTATTATTCTCTGACTATTCAGCTTTAATCAAAGACCAATTATGGTGAAATTAAACCAAATGCTGATTCTCAATGACCAAAAGGCTAAATCAAGTCAAAATCGTCAGACCGCCATTTTGGAGCGGTGCGTTCACTTTTTTTCGTGGAAACATTGGTTTTTTTTTAATAATAAATAGTTACTAGGAACACAACGATATGCAATTTATAGTGGAGGAGGAGAGGAAAGGGGGAGGGAGGGGTGCAAGGTAGAGGGGTCTGGCCCATAGACTATAAGGGAAAGTATTGCGATCGTGAAAATTTTCGAATTTGAATTTTCAACGGGAATACATGTTTTGAGATCCTCTGACTCTAAATAACCAAGTCTCGCAAAATGATCTGTGTGTGTCGTTAGTAAAAGTAAATCGTAAAAGTCTTACGAAAGTAAAATTGCGTATTTGAGGTTTTTATAAGCCTGGGATGTTACAGCAACATTTTCATCATGATCGACAAGCCGAAAGTCGTACTTCCTATCATCTATTTAAAAAAAATTTCGCAATTTTTTCAAAAACGGCTTTGACGAATTTAAGATTTTGGGAATTGGCTCTTTTGTGTACAGTAGATAAATTAGTTATAATTTTTGTAATTTAAAAACGTTTTATTCTTTTTAATTAATTATATTTTTATTTATATAAATGTTTCTTCCTTTAAACACATTTTGGAATGTTTGTCAATGTACTTCAGTTATATCATATTTTACTTTTAGATCTTTATTTTTTGAAGTTTATCATTTTAAAGATTTTTTTAAAATGATAACGTAACATACATCCTGGTTGGACTAACTATTTCTCCCTGAGAATTTGAGCCTTTTGCTGTCATCAGATATTAAAAGCAATGTTTACAAGCTTTTGTTATTTTATGATAATCTAATAAAGGAAAAAGCTAATATTTAAATTATAAGTTTAAGGAAATGCAATGGTTAAACCACGGCAGATTATAAATCATGGTTTACTAAATGTATGTATTTTGTACCTTTGTATGTACCTTTGCGTTTCAAACATTATTGAATGGAAGTTGTGCGGAGTATTCGCACAGGTAAGCTAGTTATTATTTTGCTTATATATGTATTCTGAATGGCTTTTAGGCTGGGGAATAAACTTGGAGATGGATCATTTGGAGTTGTACGGAAGGGAGAATGGACGACGCCTAGCGGCAGGACAAAACCTGTCGCTGTCAAAGTCCTTAAAGCAGATGCCCTCACCCAGCCTGGTGTCTTCGAAGACTTTATGAGGGAAGTACAAGCCATGCATTCGTTAGACCATCCAAAACTCATCAGGTAACTTCTATAATAATTTTTTTGTTTTTAAAAATAATTATTATGATTATGGGCATACAGAAAAATTGTAATAATTGTTTTATGCTGTAATATTATTAAAATAAGGATTATTAAAAGCAGTCATTGGAAGTAATAGTTTTGTCTATCTTCTACGTATCTCTTCTCTATCTATTATAACTTCTTAAGCACTTACTAGATATGGATGATTCTCATTTTAGGAAGTTTTGTCCATTACAACTTTTAAGTGATTAGTCGAGTCTAACTCGATTTTTTTCCCCACTACTGTACAGTGAAGAACTATTTCTTCATAATGAAATATTAAAAATTAAAATATTAAATAATAGTGTGATTTTATAATTACTTAAGCTAATAAAATCCAAAACCACATATTATCCCACTCTGTTTCCTAGTAAACAATTTTTTTTTTCTTTCGAAACCTATGTAAAATGACAGTGAAATTTATTTCCAGTCCTAAAGGATAATTAAGTCATTTTGAATTATATATTTTTTTAACTTTTGTTAATAGTGAAGTATGTTTATGTATTTTCAAACATTGTCCCATCACTTTGATGTCATTATCGAGCAAAAAACATAACATCAGATATTTAAGCATTGAAAAGAGGAAACAGTGGGGAAATTTCTTCAGAGTTTAGTAGTAGCCATGGAGTTAAAGGGCAGCCACCAGCGGATAGACCAACCAGTTGGGGAGCCTCCCTCTACGCATAGTTTTCTTATAAGTTGACCACGTACCTTTATTCTTGTCATTATCACCATGTATATTATCTCGCTGCCTGTTCAAATTATTTCATTTATTATAATTCACGTTGAATTACGGTTTGTAGCCAGTCAGTTGGAAAAAACAAAAATTATAATACCAGTTACATTCTACGGCTTCTAGTTTTGGCCGAATAAAATACCTGAAAATGTCATCACCAAGTTGAAAACTCGTTTCATTCTCACAACCGAATTATTAGCATTATTACTTATTACTGAGAAAAAGCACTTTTGATCTTGGCCATATGCTCAGATAAAGCTGAGCGGCAATAGAAGGTAGTAGATATTTAGAAAATTGTATTTAAATGCCATCCAAACTATTAAAATTTAATCATGAAAATTGCCCATAATTTGAGAATCATCCATATATTCATATGTTCTTCTTATTTTTACACATGCTTGGGAATAACTATTTTTGTGAGCTCATTATACAAAATTTTTATAATAATTTTCCATCGATAATGAAAAAATTAATAAACGCTCATTGATGAAAACCAAACCCCTCACCCTTTCTCCTTCCCCCTCCCCTCCAAAAAAAATTATTTAAGAATAAAAACAAATATTTTTTTCCGAAGCAGCTTTTGTTTTTTCTGTACAAATCAGTACTGCTAAACAATTTTCAATAAAAATGTCTTGTAGTTTTTTAAAAGTAGTTCCTGGACTCTTCATTCATTTTTGTCATGATAATTTAACTGTAAGATTAACCTAAATAATTTTTTTAACATTTATTAAATACAATTATACAGAGTATCTCAGTTCTTTATAGCCGAACTCTAGAGAGTGCTTCTAGACGAAATTTCGAACAAAAAAGTTCATTTGATGCATGGGCCGATTCCATACGGAAAAGGAATTAAGACTTTGTGTTTTTCTTAAGGTAGTCACAGTTTTTATTGAATAAGAAGAGATTGCTCAAAAAAATTTTAAGATTATTAAATTGATTGACTGTTTTTTGAGAAAAATTTATCACGGTCTATGATGAAAGGAAATTTCAGGAGGTTTAATATGGCCGCTGTAAAGAGATATCCTGCTCGTGTATGAGTACTGTACAGCGGTGCAGCAGCCGTATTAGACCTACAGAAATTCCCTTTTATCGTTGACCTTACTTAATTACTGTTTTCTAAAAAAAATTGTGTCTATTTTACGATCATGTACTTGGAATTTAATCATCTTAAACAGTTTTTGAGCAATTCCTTCTTATTCAATAAAATCCATGACTACCTTAAGAAAACCACAAAATTGATCTTAACTCCTTTTCCGTTTGGAATTGGCATGGAATGCATCAAATGAACTTTTTCATTGGAAATTTTTTCTAGAACCATCCGCCATTTGTGTAGTGCCAATGAGACACCCTGTATATTTGGAGAATATAGTCTATAATTAATAAACTGATTTTGTATACGATGCGATTCTAAAGGTTGTACGGTATCGTGCTGAGCCAACCGTTGATGATGATCACCGAACTCGCTCCCCACGGATCTCTTTTAGACTACCTTCGGAAGCAGCTGGGACAACTCTCTGTCAGCCTTCTGTGGGATTACGCTACTCAGGTCGCTCAGGGTATGGCCTACCTGGAAGCTAAGAGGTATCTTCATAGGGATCTCGCCTGCAGAAATGTCCTTATGTCTGCTATCGATCAGGTTCATAATTTTTTTTTTTTTATAATTCATTTTTTATAAATATTGTGTAATTTCTCTCTTATATTTTACAAATAATAATAATAATAATAATATAACCTCCGAAGATCACTTTAATACTATTAGGACACTTCCTAAATTAATAAGAGGTTATTGAATAATAAATAAAATTATAAGAGTATTAATTTATTTATTTATCTCAGATGTGGGTTACTGACAATCAGATCAAAACACTCAGAAAAACTAAAATTAAATATACTAAACACTGTTTGATTTTAAAATAAAGTCAAGTATGAATTGGCAAGCTAACATTTTTTCTATAGATGCTATTTTTTCCTTTGTAGCTCTAAATTTATTTGTCTTCAAAAGCTTCCCATTGTTCTGCCAAACACAACTTCCAAATTGGTGACACTATCTTCTACTCAACTCAAGCTCCCTGGGAGATCCTCTCTCTCTTGTTATTCCAAACAACTAGTCTCTCTACCAAGCAACAACTTGGTAATCTATTACTGGGTTTTACCCATTGGAGCCAGGTTCCCTTCTTCCATCCTCTCTTCACCCCAGCTAATCACTAACTGCTTCCCAAAACAAATCCTTTTTACCATCCCTCTTTGGGATTTTTCTTTTTGGGGAAACTACAGAACAGCCATTTTCTTTTCCCTGTACTATTAGAACTAGGTTAGCTTGCTTTTTAACTGTTACATTAATTTATTAAATCATTTTTATCCACTTCCAATAAAGGTGTATATTACAATTGATCATTTTCTGCAACAATGTCATAAATCGAAAATCATGATTATTTAAGTTAATATCGCAATAATAATAGCAATGATGTGTACTCTTATCTGCTAGTAATCTCTTAATATGATAAAGTGTACAATATTGTTATTTTGTATTATGACGTTTGAATGACGTTTTATTTCATTCATCTCAAGCTGCCTACTCTATTCCATTCCCTCTTTAATTACTCAAATAAATAAGAAATGAAGATTCTAAATTTATTTCGAACCAATTAATTATTTCAAATAACTCATACGTTTATTTATATAACATATCAATACAAAAACTTCAAAATTTACACAGAGTCGAAAACAACAAATTCGACATCATGTACAATATTACAGCTCAATTGGCTGCCATTCTTCCTAAAGCACTCTAGTTAGGAATTTCAGCCAGGTAAGGAACAATCTTGATTTGTCCAAACTCTCTCAGAAAGCATGATATTACGTTTTATAGGAACAGCTTATTGATAGCACTTCAAGAAACTGAAATTAATACACAATTTAAAACTTGAATACATTTAAAAAATTTTGAATTTTGAATTATGATCATATTGCAGCAACTGAGCGATATATAAATCCAAATAAAGAATGATTTTAATAATAAAAAAATTGAATCACAAGAAATAGAATGTTTTTATTTCCAAAAAGTTTTGGCATCATTGAAATTTATATTATCAATAGTTTTTCAGTTCTTTGGGAACTTATCAAGTAATGGTTTTACAGAACTTTTATTTTTAAAAAAGTTTTATATAAAAGTCCTGTCGATTTAAAAAATGATATTCTTAGCTGCTCAAACAAACTACACTTTAGAATCAGGAATAATTCATTTAAGAAAAATTATAACTCTAATCTAAGGCTAATTACTGCTTATTTTGCATTTTATTTGCATTTTTTTTAATAACTTAAAAGTTAAACTCTTACCATAAAAAAACGTTCCTTGTAACTATTATATTAAGAACTTTTTTTCCTAAACAGGTTCACAGAAACTGTTTAAAAAATTAAACAAATGAATTGTTAAATGAATAGAAGTGAAAAGATCAACAAGACGAGATTAATAATATGAAATATAAATTATAAATAATAGCTCATTAAAAAGAGGATGGAATGTTGAACATTTCCCGTGCTTACAGTATATGCATGTTCAATTTTTTTATATATATATATATATATATATATATATATATATATATATATATATATATTTTAATCCAGATCATTCATAAAACTTGTTATAATTTGGTTTTCGATACTATTTTTTCCCTTTTCGCCTCTTTAACACGGTGTCGTGTTAAGATAAAATTTTAAATAATAGCTCATTACAAAGAGGATAAAATGATGAACATTTCCCTCGCTAATAATATGCAGATCTGATTTTTAATTTTTGAGATATAATGAGGGTACTAAGGGTTGGAGGACAGAGATTAGAGCAGGTCGAGAGCTTTAAATATCTGGGAGCTCATCTCAATGCGAGTGGCTACATAGACGACAAAGTGGCCCAAAGAATTCGAGCGGCAGGGAGGATGTTCAGTATGGTCAGACAGGGTTTCAAGGAGGTGTCAAAGCAGACCAAACTAGCCGTCTATAAATCGACATTCCTCCTTATTCTGTCTGTTCTTCAGAATCGTGGACCCTCACCACAAAACACAAAAGCCATGGAAATGAGGTATCTGTGTAAAATCGAACAAAAGACACGGAGAGACAAAATACGGAACGCCACCATACGAGCTAATCTCGACGTCAAACCGGTGGAAGCCATTCTGAAGGTGCACAAACTAAGTGGTTTGGGCATCTTCTTCAGATGGATCCCAGATAGAAGCTTCAGGAAGATTTATGAGACCCACACGGGAGGGAAAAGACCCAGAGGAAGGCCTTGCATCTCCTGGGAAGACAGTATAAAGGAGGAGGCATCCAGGAAGCGTCAAATGGATTGGAGTAGGTGCAGGAGAAAGACAGCTGGGCCAGACTCCATAAGCAGAACCCTCACACCGAACCGCAGTAAAAGGGAGAATGATTATGATGATAGTGATGATGATCTTTCATAAAACTTGTTATAATTTGGTTTTCGATACTACTTTTTCCCTTTTGCCTCCCTAACACGGCATCATGTTAAGCTACAATTTTGAATAATAGCTCATTACAAACAGGATGAAATGATGAACATTTCTCTCACGAATAATATGCAGGCCTGATTTTTAGTTTTTGAGATATTTTAATCCATTCAAATAGTCGACTCAATCTAATTCACTCTACATAAAAAAAAAAGCAAAACGCGCCTAAAGAAGTTTTCACTTCAGAAGTTACATAAAAATTTTAACCTCTGTAGGAAATTTATTTTAATTTTATTTTTTTCATAATAACTTTTAACAATTTAATGGTTATGAAAAACTTCATTAAAATCCTTAGTCTACTGGAAATCAGTGTGGTCATAAAAAAAAAAAGTTTGAAAAGAGAATTAGAGTTTAAAAATACAAAAAAATCATTGGTCCTAAATTGGTTTCCCTCCAAAAAAAAATTTATTGGTTCAAAAGAAAAAAAATTTTCCAACTAATCTATCTTAAGGTCAAACCAAAGTATTAATTCAAATTGTAGTGCACAAAACAAAAGAGTTAATTTATGTGGCAGTGTAAAGAGAGAGAGAGGGTCAGATGTTTTTAGGAGATTGAAGGGAACAGTGATTGGAAAAGGTGAAGAGACATATGTGCGTTGTAGGAAACGTTAGTTCTCTCTTCTCTCTCTATCTCTGTAACTGCTGCAAGAAGCTGACTTATATGGATGAAGTCTTTGGTATTTTTGTACGTTATTCAGATTTATAGTAGTAAATTTTATATCAGCTTTAGGTTAGTCTGTAAGTTCTTGTTGTTTAGTTGTAAATAGTTAAGTTTAGATTACTCTTTAGATTAAGTTTTATTAATTATCTATAGTCTATTGTTTATTTAGAAATTTCATTGGGCTTTTTATAGTCTGTTCGTCTAAATTGTATAAATCATTAATAAATGTTTTGATTTTGATTATTTATTAATAAAACATATGTTAGGTTGATAAAGTGGATATGTGAGGTTTTCACATGGTTCTCTATTTAAGCTAGAGTCTATGTACGTTAAGACGACCATTATTACACAAATAGTGACCTAAATTGATTTCAGGTAAAAATTGGCGACTTTGGACTGATGAGAGCTATCCCTGAGGAGACAGACTGCTACGTGATGACTGCTCACTCCCGAGTACCATTTCCTTGGTGTGCACCAGAGTCTTTGCGGAGGCGGCAGTTCTCACATGCTTCCGATGCCTGGATGTGGTCTGTTGCGGTCTGGGAGATGTTCACCTTCGGCGAGGAGCCTTGGATCGGCCTCAATGGTACAGAGATTTTGGTGAAAGTAAGTAAATTGCTCAAGTTGATAATTATTTCATAAATATTAGTAGAACTGATGATTTGCCCAATAGAAATGGTGAGGAAGCAATATTGCCGCTTTTTGGCAGATTTTGTTACTTACTCATCTATGATATATATATAATGAGGAAAAGGTTATGATAAAATCCTTAATGTTATTAATCTTTAATAACTTAAGCCATGATAATAGATTTAAATAATTAGAGTGAACGCACCAATTATGGACTGGTTGGACTGTGGATGTAAATAATAAGCTTTCTTGTTGATTTAAAGGTTCCAGTTTTTTCTAGACTGAAGAATAATGCCCTCTATTGACAACTGTATGGACATACTTTCAAAAGAAAATTTTAAAATGTCTAACATTGTTTTTCTATTGTACTCTTGAGATCAATGTGTTTCATACCTTGATTCTTTCAATGTCTTTGATACCTTGAACCAACAGTTTTTGCATTTATTTTACAACAGTGTAATATTTATTTTATCTTATCTTTTTATTTAAATGAAGATTTCGGACTTTTTCTGAGGTATGCCCATAAATAATACTAACCTCCTGTCCATTACTTTTATTTTTTTTTTTTTTTGTTCATTGATATTTACAACTGTGTTATAAAAAAAATAAAACTAGTAAATGTGCACACAGTAATAATACAATCACATGAAAACGCTTGTTGAGAAACTACCCATTGATAGCACTCTAATAATATATTTACATAAGCAGATCACGAGGCCATCTTCTTTTCAGATGCCTCGGAGAGTTATCAGGGATCGAGGAGGAAGCGAGGTTTGAAACGAGAGGGTTCGGATGGTTCTGGAGTTTGTTATGGAAGGATAGGTTTCTGGATTGGGCCAAATCGGAAACATATGGAACATTAAGGTCTTTATGGATGATTTTATTTGTGACAAAGTAGGGAGCATTGAGGATTTTACGAAGGATTTTGGATTGTAAGGATTGGATACGAGAGGAATTCGATGGTTTAGTAGAGCCCCAAAGGTCAATTCCATAAGTCCAAATAGGTCTTATTATTGTCATATATATGAGTCGTTTGTAATTTATTGAAAGCTTAGAGCGTTTGTCTAGTAAGTGTTGGAGTACTCAGAAACGTTGAGCGGTTTCTTGTTGTTTCAGTCTGGTATGAGGATTCCATGTGAGTTGTTTGTCCAGGTGGAATTCTAGGTACCGGATTTGTTCAACTGGGATAAGTAGGGAATTGTTAAAGAATACTGTAGGACAGAAGGTCATGGGTTTGCGACAGGGTAAAGGTAATTTGATGGGATTTATTGGAATTTATTTTAACTCCAGTTTTTATACCATTCTTCAAGATTTGTGATATGTGATTGAAGAGTTTGGGATACAGTTGATGGATCATTATTAACTGATAGGATACATGTGTCATCAGCATATGTGGTGATGACAGTGTCAGGATGGGTAGGGATGTCAGCTGTATAGACTGTGTAGAGGATAGGACCAAGGATACTACCTCGAGGATCTGCCCATTACTAGATAGAATAATTGAATTTTGAAGTGTCCATCACTAGTAAAAAAAGTTTTATTTTTTAAATGGAGATTATACCTGCATAACTGAATATTTTCTCAACTTTAAAGTGTTAAATAGAAAAAGGTGACCCTAGAGATTTTAAATGTTCAACGGAGAAGTTTATAAATATACTAATTACAGCGGCATAAGACAAAAATTCTCTTAGCTATGTCTATCACTGGTGTGCTTACCCTAAATATTGACTAACTATATTTGGATTTTTTTTAATTGATCAACTTTTAATTAATTTTAATATTCTTCTTTTCCAGATCGACAAAGAAGGAGAAAGATTATATAAACCCGAAGCGTGCCCTCCTAAACTGTACACCTTGATGTTGCAGGTACCCATTCTGTTATATTATGCTAGCTTATGAAAAAAAATTTGTGAAATATTGTGGAGAGATTTCGATATTAACACTGGTGGCTGAATCATCTATTTACATTATTCAGATAACTAAATCTGATATATAATTTATATCTTAAGCAGACTGGCCACCCAAAGCGCAGCTCAGTCAGCAACTTGCCTTGCATTGGTATCCTTCCCATATTCTGTATGCCATGTTTTTTAAAAATATATAGCATATATAATGATGTAGAGATGGTTGACCGTTGATATAATATGAGAAGGAGTTAGTCGAGGGTGCGGTCAAATAAATAAAAAATTAAAATATATTAATTATTTTAATTTTTGCCGACGTTTCGACCCACTTTGCAGGTCGTCTTCAGGGCTACAAAAGATACAAAACATGTTTAAAATAAAAAATAAATATAAGTATATATAAAATAAGAAGAAGTTGTCAGATACAGAAATAAAAGATGGTATCAGAGATATAGTGGTTTCAATCTATTTATTCATTAACATTCATGTATTTATTTCCTTTATCTGTTAACCCACAGTTATCTAATGTAATCTCTATTAGTTTGTTATACACTTATTCCTTATTTTTTATCGCAATCTGTTTATTTTTAACTTACATGCTATATTCTCCTTTATTTTTATTTTTATTCCTACTTATTTTCCATTTATTTGTATCTTTACATATATAATTCTTAATATTTAACTACATTGCCACCCACTATATCTCTGATACCATCTTTTATTTCTGTATCTGGCAACTTCTTCTTCTTTTATATCTACTTATATTTATTTTTTATTTTCAACATGTTTTGTATCTTTTGTAGCCCTGAAGACGACCTACAAAGTGGGTCGAAACGTCGGCAAAAATTAAAATAATTAATATATTTTAATTTTTTATTTATTTGACCGCACCCTCGACTAACTCCTTCTCATATAGCATATATAACATAAAAAAATATAAAAGTTGATCATGCCAAAGTTGAAAAGAAAATTCGAATATTTGTGATTTAAAATCAAATATTTTCCCTTACACTTTCGATTAAGAGTTCTTCCACATCTATAGCATATTTTACACTGAAACAAAATAAAATAATTTGAGAGGTTGTGCCGTGAAAACAAGCGGATAACATTTTTTAAAAAGTATATAACATATATATAATACTTTTAAAATACTAGCAAAGATGATCATGTCGGAGCTGAAATTAAGAATTCGAATATTTGTGTATAAAATCAAATATTTTCCCTTACACATTCAATTAAGAATTCTTCCACATCCATTGCATATTTTACATTGGACCCTAAATAAAACCACAGCGCCACGGTTGTGTGGCAGTGGTGAATAGGTGTGGTGGGGGAAGCTGAGCACTGCGGAGCCAAGTCGACCCAAAGCTGACCTGAGCTGATCCTTGTTATTCCAGTCAATTGCGCTCAGCTTCTGGTGGCTGGCCTCTCATTTAAAATCTTTGGTTCAGTTTTGGAAGCTGACTCAGCTCAACTCCGCTATGCTTTTGGTGGCCGGTCGGCCTTCAATAGGCTCTTTGATATTCAAAAACTTGAGTGATGATCCACTTATTTTTTTATATAATAGAAATAATAATAATAAAAATAAAAGTGTATTGTTATTTATACAGTACCAATTTATCAATTATTATTATTTATAATCTATCTATCTACAAGTCTAGGTTTCGGGTTTCTGACCCATTTTGGAGGACAATTATTTCTGGTTGATGTTAACTATTATATAAAGAGTGTTTTATGTTAATTAGCCCTATTGCAAAAATGAACTAATTACCTCAAAACAAGGAAAAAATTTCCTCTGAAGATACGTCCACAAACACTTTGTTTAGGAGATATTCACACCTAAAGATTTTCGTTGTTATGAATTGTTTTCGTTAAATGAAATAAATAATGGCGCCTATGGTGAAAAGTTTTTTTTTTAATATTTTTTTTCTTTTTATTGTTATTTTTTTAATGTATATTTTACTTTTTATTTTTATTATATATTTATTTTTCAATTCTTATTTTAGATGTAACACATGGAATGAATGTACACATAGAGCCATATTAACTAAAGCTCTTTATTTTGGCAAATTGTATTATTATTATTCAAATAAAGATCGTTTAAAAAAAATTATATTTGCAAATATGTGTCATAAAAATTTGTAATTTTTTGCATTTTTTATAGTTATAACTTAATCTTCAACAACGAATACAAATTGAAAATTCATGTGAGTGCCCAGTTAACAAGAGCATGCTCTAGTTTTTAATTTACTAATTTCATATATTTTTATATGGTCTGTATTATTCTGCTGGTTGTATGTGCTTTAAGAAGATACATCTTGCTTTATTCAGTGTTGGGACAGAGAACCATCCGAAAGACCAAGCTTCCAGACGATACATTCTGTGATGTGCCGAGAGGCACCAAGCATAGTCAAGGTGAAAGAAGAGCCTACAGTACCTGAATCGGAGCCACCAGGGCCTCTACTGAATTCCGTCAGTGTCGGCGACTCTTTGGTTCTCATCGAAGCTTACTCGGAAATGTATTGGGCTAAAGCCCAGTCTCTCGTCAGCTATAACATTGGTTACATTCCAAGGTATGTGTGTATAAATAATAGGGTATTTGAAAAAAAATTATTGTTTTATCAAATTCAAGATTTCAAAGGACTGTAAATATTTTAGTCCTATTTAATACTTAATAATCCCTTTAGAGCATTCTCTAAGCTTTTTTAATACCATTCGACTTCTTAAAAAAGAAGCCTCAGTTTAGTTATTTGTTTCAAAGAAGAAACATGACAGTGTCCTACGAAATTCTCATAATTTTAAGGCATTACTGGAAAAAAAATTTCTCAGCCGCTGAAGCAACTCGTGAAATTATTAAATATGAGGGGGAAGGTGTCCTTGACCACTTGGTTTGAAAATTTAGCTCTGGAGATACGATGTCGGAAAATAAGAAGGGCAACGGGCGACCGTTAATGGATATTGATGAGGTTCTGCAGGAATCTGTTGAATCAAATCCATCTACTCTCCATGGGGAACGTAAAAAAGAGCAGTAGACTTTTCCCTCACGAACTTACTCCTCAGCAATCAGCTAAGAGGTTAGAAATTTGTGAACGTTTATTAAAAAACCCTTCTGATATGATATTTTATCGGAAGATTGTCACCTGTGATGAAAAGTGGGTTTACTGATGAAATCCTTGTTAACAATGGCTGGATCATGGTCAAACTGCTTTTCTGGTTGCTGCAAGGGAACAATTTGAAAAAAAAATCAATGCTTTGCGTTATTTAGAATTTTGAAGGTGTTATTCATCACAAATTTGTTCCTGATGGATGCTCTGTGAATTCTGAACTCTACTGGAAGGATTGTATGTGAGATTGTCAGAGTGTTATCCTGCTTTGGTCATCTGTAAAGAAATTTTATTCCAACAAAATAATGCTCGTCCTCACACTTCCGGTCGAACCAAAGAAAAGTTTAAAGAACTTAATGGGCTTGAACTCCTGCCTCATCCACTATATAGTCCAGACCTCTCAGCCTCGCATTATTACTTATTTAGATACATGGCCTATTTTCTTTAAGGTAAAAAATTTGCTAATTCTACGGAAGTTTAGATTGCGCTCCATGAGTTCTTTGACAGCCATCTAATGGTATGAGCGTGGGATCGAGCTATTGGTTAGCATATGGCTAATCACAGTGGATAACAATGGACTATACTTTGAGTATCAATTGTATTTTATATCAAAGAAATAATAATGCAAATATTTGGTTGAAAAACAGCCATTTTTTTTTATAGCTCCTATTAGTACGGAAATATAATTAATATCACTAGGTTATATCATAAATTGTTCTGTTTTATAACATAAACAATTTTTATCCCATCTTCTCTTCCCTAAAAAGCTTATAATGTGAAGATCATGTTTCACTGAAAATATATAACTGTTATAATTTAAACAGAACATTATCAAGAAATAAAGTAGGAAGATATATTTATATATTTGATTGGCCTCATATCAAAGATATCTTTCATTTTTAAGAATTGAAAAAGCCAATTTTCTGTAACAAAGCTACAATTTAAACCTAATCCGATGATTTGTTTCACGATTAAACTAGAATATTCTTAAATAAAATCATCAGAAACAGTTTTAATTTTAAGTGAACTTATAAAACAAAAATTGAATTTTTCACCACTTTCTAAAAATTACAGCTGCCTATCTTTGATATGAAGCCACTCAAATGATTAAAAAATAATTTTGAATTGATAATTCATCTTGTAATAATTATTAATAAATAATTAAATTTTTAGGTTTTGCCTCTCCAGCGGTAAGATGGATGGTTCTGATATTTCGCTTCCTCTCGATAACTCATTCATTCACACCGGCCATGGATCTATCGGAGGAGGTAAAACGTGGGGCTCTCCTTCGGTGATCGACCCTGTGTACCTCAATAACCCCATGACGCCTCCGGATCTCTTGGGAATCCAACCACAAAACAATACTAGAAGTAAATATTGAGAATTTTTTTTATATGTTAAAATCATTTATTTCGCCTGTCCTGTTCAATTTGGCATTAGGGAGGTAATGCGTACCGAAAAAGGGTTGGATCTGGGTGGGACAACATCCGTGCTGGACTATGCTGATGATCTGGTACTGTTAAGCGAAGACGTTGAAACTATAAAACTAAATACGACAACGTTAATGAAAGCCAGTAAAGAACTAGGACTCGAAATAAACGTGGATAAAACAAAATATATGGTTAGCTGCAAAAATGGCGATACTACTGGTGATATCGATATAGATGGTAATATGTTTGAAAAGGTAGATAAATTTAGGTATCTAGGTTCTACAATAACTAGAAAAAACGAAATTGAAGAAGAGATTAAGGTTAGACTGAAGGTGGGAAATTCGTGTTATTTTTCTGTGGCAAAACTACTTAGTTCGCGCCTCTTGTCCCGGAACTTAAAAATTAGAATCTATAAAACAATTATCTTGCCTACAGTTCTTTATGGATGCGAAACTTGGCCACTTACATTAAGGGATGAGCAGCGTCTTAAGGTTTTTGAAAATAAAGTATTGCGTAGAATATTCGGACCGAAGAAGGATGAGTTAACCGAGGAGTTCAGACGGTTACACAATGCCGAATTGCGTGAACTGTATCCGGGCAATATAATTGAGGTAATTTCATCGTGGCGAATCAAATGGGCTTGTAAAGTTGTTGGGCTTAGTAACGAGAGAATTCCTAAAAGGTTAATATTTGCTGTGCCGAATGGTAAGCGTCCGAGGGGTAGACTGAAGCGAAGGTGGGAAGATTGCATTAAAGCCAATTTGAAGTTACTGGGTTTGGATGGCAAACGGTGGAGGGAGGTGTGTAATAAGCGATTGGTGGTGTCGTCATCGAACCTTCGGGTTCGCTAAGCCTTTTATTATTATTATTATTATTGTTTAATTCATTTATACCACTGATTCAAAGTTTTACTGGTTGGATTTTTTAATACTAAAAGTTAATCATTGTAGAGAGTGTTTGGTGGTATCAGCATTGATACCTATACCTTTCACCTTTTTAATTTTAATTCTTTATTATTCAATATTTATAGCTTCTCATACCTATTGTTATCTGGTTCTTTTCTTATCTCTTAGCTGAAACGTCAGCAAATGATAATACTCCAGTGCTTGAATCACGTCTTGATTGCCAGTTAAGATATTCCGTCCCAACAATCCTTCAAGCAACAGCTTTGATGCACAGTGAGATATCGCCAGTACCTCAACTTGGAATACTGTTCCATATTTGCCTAGTAGTATAGAGATGCCATCATTTAGTCCGTCGTTCCTTTAGATCCCTGCACCAGAACCATATGTAATCCTTTGGTTGAAGAATATTCATCATCCTACTAAAGCTAATAAAAGTTTAGTGGTTTAGCATAGGGGGATCGTTCACGTGATATTTACACTGTTAGTTTCGTACAGACCAATATATTTTAATTTTTAAAAATCTCGAAAGAATCATCATTGGAAATATGGCACCTTGGAATGAATTAAATGATGGATGAATTCCATTTTTGTGCTTTAAAATGCAGGAGTTGGTACATTCCAAAGGAATGTAACTAGGTTTTGATGCAGGCACCAAATCTTTAAAACACTAAATGATTAGTATCATTTTAATCCATCGACTTATCAATGTTGGAGTTTTAAAAGATATTTTAGTGTTTGGATTAAAATATCTCATAAACTAATAATCAAATCTCCGTACTGTAACTAAAGAAAATGTTTAGCATTTCATCCTCTTTGTAATGAGCTATAATCGAAAGTTGTATCTTGACGAGTTACCGAGTTAGAGAGGTGAAAAGGGAAAAAGATGGTGTCAAAAACCAAATGGTAACCAGTTTTTTGAACATTTGGATTAAAATATCTATGAAATTAAAATTCAGACCTGAATACTGTAAATGAGGACAATTTTAATTTTGTTCTCTTTGTAATGAGCTATAATTTAAAATTGTATTTTGGTGTGACGGCGAGTTAAGACAGTTGGAAAGGAAAACAGAATCAAAACTGCACAATTGTCTTATACTAATTGACGTCTTATTGTTGAGGGATGTATAAATATTTAGATATTTTATTTTAATTAGCTGTAAAAATAAGGAATTATGTGTTTATTTTTGGATAGTTCCTATCTTACTGATAGACACTTCAAAGTAAATCACAATAATACCTATTCATCTCTCTTTTCTCAATCTGCCGGAGTTTCTCAAGGTAGTATCCTTGGTCCTATCCTTTACACAGTTTATACAGCTGATATCCCAACCCATCCTAACACTGTCATCACTACGTATGCTGATGACACATGTATCCTGTCAGTTAATAATGATCCAACAATTGCATCCCAAACTCTTCAATCACACATCACAGGTCTTGAAAAATGGTGTCAAAATTGGAGGATTAAAATAAATTCCAATAAATCCCATCAAATCACCTTTACCCTTCGTCGTAAACCAATGACTTGCTGTCCTATAGTATCCTTTAATAACACCCCACTTATCCCTGTAGAACAAATTCGATACCTATGACTCCAGCTGGACAAACGTCTCACTTGGAATGCTCATACAAGACTGAAACGACAAGAAACTGCTCGACGTTTCCGCTTACTCCAACACTTACTGGACAAACGCTCTAAATTTTCAATGAATTACAAACGACTCATATACATGACTATAATAAGACCTATTTGGACTTATGGAGTTGAGCTGTGGGGCTCCACTAAACCATCAAATTCCTCTCGTATCCAATCTTTACAATCCAAAATCCTTCGTAAAATCCTCAATGCTCCTTACTTTGTCACAAATAAAATAATCCATAAAGACCTCAATGTTCCATATGTTTCCGATTTGGCCAAATCCAGATACCTATCCTTCCATAATAAACTTCATAACCATCAGAATCCTCTTGTTTCTAATCTTGCTTCCTATTCGATTCCTGATTATCCTCCGAGGCGTCTGAAAAGGAGATGGCCTCGTGATCTCCTCATGTAGACAAATTATTAGAGTGCTACCAATGGGTGGTTTCTCAACAAGCGTGTTTCATGTGATTATATTCCTATGTACACATTTACTTGATGTATTCATACTAATACAGTTGTAAATATCATAATAAAAGTTAACAAAAAAAAAAAAAAAAAAATTTTTTTGGATAAAGTCGGCTGGGGTCGTCTAATTTTTGTATTTGGATTAAAATATCTCAGAAACTAAAAATCGGACCTGCATACTGTAAGCGAGGGAAATATTTTTATCTCACGTTATTAATCCTGCCTTGTTGATATTTTCACTTCTATACCATAATTTTTTTTTCAATGAATTTTTGTAAGAATTTAAAGAAATGAAATTTGGATTTGTCATTTCTCCACAAAATATCCTTTCTTTTAATACCTCATTTATCAAAATCCATTTTTCTAATGCCAGAAAAGGGATTTATACTATTTTATTAAAAATAGATCCGTTATTTATCTCCACAATTGAATTCCATTTTGATTACATTAAAAAATTTTGAATCTTCCACCACATAGATATCCAAAAATATTAGCATTACAGATAATTAAAAAAGAAATCGCATGGTTCAGGGACTTACTTAATCTGATAGAACTACGTAGATTTCAACTTAAATTGATCTAAATGTGATGATGTTAAACTATGCGGAGCTAATTTATATTTACTAAGAACTCAAATTCAGAAAGACATATAATGAATATGTAAAGTTCAGAATTCTAAAACTTTCACTTTTTACCCTCATTTAACTTCAGTAAATTATATTGATGACAAAAGCTCATTGGTGGTGATCAAATGGCTAATTAAAATTAGAGCTGATGTTTTGAACTTAAATTATAAACACTTCCAACAAATAAATAATAATTGTAGCATGTGTAATACAAACGAAACAGAAGATCTCTATCACTTCCTGGCTGCTTGTCGGATACTCTCTGAATTTAGAATTAAATGGTTAAAGTCTAGAAATTTATCTCGGGGTCAAGTAATAGATTTATTAAATGGAAACAATTGGAGAGCATTGGTGATTTACTGCAAGTCTGCTTTCTCCTATAGAATAATGCTCACTAGAGAATTTAACAATTAATAAATTGGAGAATTTTAGTACCACTCCTAATGTAATTAAATTGTAATAATTGTTCTTATTTTCTTATTAATTAGTTGTAAATGAATAGATTGAAACATAATTTTGTTATAAAACACAGACTCCTCTGACGGTTAACAGACCATGTAGCACGTCTGATTTTCGGTTTTGAATCTAAAAATATTATTTTGTAATTTATATTATGTAATTTTGATAAATAAAATTACTTTTTCTTCTTCTTCTCTACTGCTGTATTATCCGTAGTACAAATTTTTAAAAATGTAAACACAAAATTAATTTAAATATAAAATGACTTTGTATATATTTGTTGCCAAATAGAGAGCCTGAAAGTTACAACGACGATGAAAGGCAGTCGCCAGTTCTCTTACAGGCGGCTTGTGTGCGAGAGTGGTAAGAGCTCCACAAACGATCGAAAGCAGTCCAAGTTACCGCCAGAGCGGCCGCCTCCTCCAAACGTCGGGCAGTTAATTGACATCCCCTCGTCCCCGAGGCATACTGTTATAGACCAGCCCATCAGCCAGCCAGGTATAATTTTACCATTAATTTAAATAGTTTTAACAAATATCTCATTTATATATTTTTCAACATCAATTAGAATATAAAAAAAAAATCTCTTACAATGCAATGTTAATTACATTTATAATACTTATGGATATGATTGTAATTATAATTTAAGAAGTTGGTCAGGGTATTTGTATTTTATTGTTTTTACCAAAGTTTTGAACTGCATGGTACAGTTTTATCTGAGCTAAAAAAAAAGTTATACAAACTATAAATATTAATTGGTACTAGGCAAAAAAATATCTGTTGATATTAAACCAGTACAGATTACTAGATAAAGAAACTGAAAAACTTATAAGATAACATAAGTGTTGAAGTGAATTATAGCATCATTAGAAATATAATTTATATATATATCTACTGTAGCGTTACTTCCAAAAGAAATAACAGGTAGTTAAATAAAAAACAAACTATAAGAGCATTAATATATTAAATTGAAATTTAGAATTATTTTATCTCACGTATGGATTACTGCCAATCAGATCAAGACACCCAGACAAACTATTATTATTTACACTATTTATACTAAAATTAAACACTGATTTTAAAATAAAGTCAGTTATGCATTGGCAAGCTAACCTTTTTTCTATATAAACTGTTTCTTCCTTTGTGCCATTGAATTCATTTGTCTTATAACATTTTCCTATGTTTTGACAAACACACCTTCCAAAATGCTGACACTTTCTTCTACTCAACTCAAGCTCTCTTGGAGATCCTCTCTCTTGTAATTCCACGCAACTAGTCTCTCTGCCAAACAACAACTTCCAAGATGGTAATACTATTACTGGGTTTTACCCACTGGAGCCAGGATCCCTTCTCTCACCCTCTCTTCACTGCAGTGAAACACCAACTGCTTGCCAAAACAAAATCCTTTGTGCCCCCTCCTCTTCGGGATTTTCCTTTTTGGAGAAACTACAGAGCAGCTATTTGCTTTTTCCTGAACTAGTAGAACTAGATCAGCTTGCCTTTTAACTATTACATTAATTTATTAAACCATTTTTAACAACTTTCAATTAAGGCTGTTTTATGGAAATGTAATATCAGCCATTTAGATATATATTTACCTGTAATTAGTTTTAAATTATATTTAAAAAAAAAAAATATTTTGTACTCATTATATATCATAAGCTATTATAATTAGATTTACGAAATAGTATTTTTATTGAGACTTGAGGTTAATATCCATTTCTTATTTAGCCAAGAGCGAAGTGTGTTTAATGGACTTACCAATCGATGTCAATACAGGAGGTATGTTTTTCTAGAGAAGAGACTGAAAAATGGCTTAATACACTAAAAAGTTATTAAACAAATGCTAGAGATTAGGTTCTAGATTTTTTTTTTACTTGCTAGAAAAATAATTACTAGTGGAATCACATCAGCTGTTAAATATAACTGAGTAGCCCAGTTACAAACATGTTCGCATTCATTCTTGTCACAAAATGGATTATATATTGTTTCCGTTAGGTAGTTTCAACCTAGTTTAGCAATTAAAAGAATGAAAGCAGTTTCTTGTCACAAAATGGTACATCCACACATTGTTTACAAACCATACATGGTCAATCATATAAGGTGTGTGTTGAAAAATATAATCATTGGTTAGTAAATAAATATAAATCATGTCCAATTTTTTTTAATAACAAGTAAACTGTTAATAAAAGTATCACATCTGTTATTTATTCAATTTGAATTACATTTGGTATCTAATTCAATATATAAAAAAATAAATAAATTGCTGCAAACTATTACACAATGGTTTATTATTTCCAAATAAATATACATTTATTAAATACGTGTGGCTGACATCACATTTCATTCATTACCACTTTTGGGAAACGTAAACACAAAATTATTTTTTTGGGTCCTCCCCTTCATCGCCTTAGAGGCTATGCGTGGTTTTCCCGGACCAGAGGGTGTGAGCGGGGATTTAAAAGACTCCCCCAGCACCGGGACTCAAACTCGTGACTATTTTAAATCTATTGTCTCATAGATCAGGTTGCCGGGCAACGGCAGTGCTGTGCACACACGTTAGCCCGTTCGGCCACCCCACCCACCACATTACAGACCTTGTAGAACTTTTGCCATCTTTTAAACCAGCCTGCTCCGTATCTGCCTGTCTTGGGTTGTTTCTTTTAATTATCTGCTTCTTGGCCTTCTACATGGTCTTTTGCCTACTATTAAGACATTCATTCTCTTATAGAGGCTTCCAGATGGATTGCTTTAAACTGCATGCACTGCCCATCTTAACCTCCTTACCTTCATATTATAAGATATTGATGACCAGTTTTTATAAACAGTTTTTTATTGGCCTTTCTTTCCCCTCCACGTGTTAGTTCTGTGATTCCAGATCGCTCCAGTTATTTTGCAGAGGATTTTTCTCTGAAATCTTTCAATACTTCTTTCTAGGCCGCCTTGTTAATGTCCAGGTTTCACAGCCATATATTAGAAGTGGCTTTATCATAGCATTGTGAACCCTTAATTTGAAATTTCTTGATATAGTTCGATAATTTAATAACTTTGAAAGGGAGAAGAAAATATTTAAAAAGTATACATATAATCAACAAAAAATATAAATGCATTTTGAGTAATTCAACAATAAAATCTTACATCCATCCTTTTTTCCAGCTCTTTTTTGCGGAAGTACGTTATGTACATAAATTTATGAGGTTTTAAGCAAATTGTAGTTTTATTGATGTCGTTAATCTTTTCAGCACTTCAGTTTTTAGTGCCACACGTTTATCAGCCGCCATTTCAAAAAGAAAGGGCAGATGATAATGTCGAATAGGAAGCATCATCCCTGGGTGATCTCTTACTTTGATAACAATCATCAAAATGAGCCCATTAGCCTCGGAGGAAAAAATTTTATTAGATTTTCAGATTCTACTTATCGTGCTACGTTAATTCTCAAATTTTAAAGGGGTTAAATTTTTGTTTTTATTATTCGATTGCAATGGTTCATTGTTGAAAATAATAATTTTTTTCTATTATAAATGATTTTTACATGCTCCTGAAAATATGGTACAATCCTCTTAGCTATGTTTGTAAATAGGCTACTCAAACCTCATGTGATATAACCATCTTATTATAAAAAGTTGACTTTTTTAAAAGCTTTCATTTTTTTTAAACATTAAACAATTGAAGTTTAATTCAAATTTTTTATTCAAAATAGTGTTATTTTATAAAAACTTTCTCAAAATCATTAAATCTAGGACCTAATCTGCCTGCGTCAATGTGTCGTATAGTAGATTAGTTATTTTTCTCTTTTCTTTTTAGTTTTTCCTGCATTAGCTATTTGCATGTTGTCACATTACATAATGAATCAGATGTTGAGTTCAGAAATAACGCACAATTGAATCTACATCGCTCGTTAGTCAGAAATGCATTTTGAGAGTTAGAGTTATGCATTAAATAAACTATGTTTGTTCAAATCATATTTTTAAATGCAACATATTTTAAGCTTGAGACCAGAGTTAATAAGCTTTTTTTTATTTAAATATTCTTCTTCATAATTAAATAATGATTATCGCCATCATGGGTAATATAATATTATTAGTGGAGTAAAGGAGAGAATGTGATCTTTCATGGAACAGAAAATAGAAATGAAAATAAATTTTATTCTTGGACTAGGTCCCTTAAGAAGAAGAAATATGTAGAAATAAACACAAATCATTACTGTCCGAAAGCTACATTAATACAAATAAAACAGTATATACACCTTCTCAAGAGTAAAAGTTTATATTGGATTGGCAAAGAAGTCCTTTGGTTTTTCAGGGTGAGATAAAACTCAATGTATTATAGACATAAAATTTATTTTAATCTATAATATATTGACCGTTATTTAATATGAATTTTTCCCATCTTTCCATTAACTGCGTAATGCCATGTTCATAGAATGTCTGGAGTTTATTGTTAAAAAACTGATCCAAGTGGTTTTTTATCTCTCCTCTTCCTTTTGGAATTTCTTTCCATTCATGGAGTTCTGTTGTCCTGTTATCAACCTTTTCAAAAATGGTTCGTTTTGTTGCCATTTCCGTAGTGAATCACAAACATAAATGCATGTTGCCAAGTTGACTTCGGTTAGAGATTGAGGGACCCAAACATTAATCCCGGAAACATAGCCAAGCTTGTGCAAATGGTTTTCTACGCTTGTGCACGATACCTTTAGGATCATAGCAATCTCTTACACTGATTGGATGGGATTTCGATCAACAATGGCCTTAACATTGCTCGTTTCAATTTCATGCAGGCGACCAGACCGATGAGCATCATTGATGTCAAAATTACCTGAATGAAATTCAGTAAAGCAATTTTGACAAGTGCGTTTTGTTCGGTTAAGGCATCATCCCCATAAACATTGCAAAATTTTCTATTAGCTTCTGCAGCATGCTTACCTTTTTTAAAATAATACAACAAAATATGCCAATAATAAATGATATTTTCTTCCATATTCACAGTGCAATAGCAAACACAATACTATGCTAGTTTCAACAACAGTTAACAGATATAATTGTTGACATATTACAAACAGGATAAACAATCCACCCTGGAGATTAATTCATCAGATAAGAAGTGTATCATGTATGCCCAACACCAACACATCATTGGTCACTCGCAATAAATTATTGAGCCTTGGATGGGACCTTTGATCCCACCTTCCCTATTCGCTAGACCTAGCTCCAAGTGACTACCACTTATTCCGGTATCTGCAGAACTCCATGAATGAAAAGAAATTCCAAAAGGAAGAGGAGACATAAAAAAACCGCTTGGATCAGTTTTTTAACAATAAACTCCAGACATTCTATGAACATGGCATTATGCAGTTAGTGGAAAGATGGGAAAAATTCATATTAAATAATGGTCAATATATTGTATATTAAAATAAATTTTATGTCTATAATACATTGAGTTTTATCTCACCCTGAAAAACCAAAAGGACTTATTTGCAAACCCAATAATTAAAAAACTATATATAAAAAAAATGAAAAATGATAAAAAATAAGTGTTGCTTAGAAATAAAAAATTAAATTAAAAAGAAAAAATTAAACTTCTCTTATAAATGAGACCCTAGTCTTCAATAATAAAAAGGAAAAAAAAAATACCTTACCTAAACTACCAATATAAACAAAATAAAACAAATGGAACTATGCACAAAGTATTTAAAACTATTTACAAAAAAAAAAAAAAAAATTGCTTGACAGGATTGCTCGACATCAAACAGGGTTCATGAGCTTAACAGCTCAGTGCCTAACTCACTAAGCTACTCCCTTCCCTTAAAACTTTATACAAAACAAATAGAAATAATATAAAATATTCGCTTCTTATAACAGAAAAAAAAACAAAAGAAAAATAATAGATGTAATAGTCACAATTATTGTTGTCTACAAAGTATTTATTAAACTTTTATATGTAGAGTATGGACTCAATTTTTTACACTATATTCATTTATAATTGTGTCATTTATATGTTTCTTACTAATAATTTCATTATTAACAAAAGCAAAACATTCCTTCCATTCGGTATATAACTGGGAGTCATTTTCTGTTTACTTCATTATCATATACATTTATCATTAAAAATTAAACTAATGAAAATATTTTAAAATCATATCATTTGTAAATAAAATTTTCATCAGCTTTATTTCTGCACTTTTTATGTGGGCTTCTTACAGCCGATTGCACCAACCGTTGTTAACTTTAATGTTATTAATTTTGATTTTAATTAATAACTAATTAATTAATTTTTCCATTGTACCAACCTTAGTTAAATACTTAACCAATATTAAATTATTACCTTTTAATGGTTACTTTTAACTTCAAACAAATCGTTCGAGTTCAATTACACAGATACAAATTTTTCATTATTGATTCTGTTTGATTATTTCTGTAAATAGTCTTTTTGTTTTATTTACAATAAATTAAAGAAAATAGATATGAATTTGTCTTAGATGAAGAAACAATAGTTGCAATCTGCCTTGCTATGGCAATTCGAAAGAAAAATCACTGTTCTCCATATTTATGAATTATAAAGACGTAATTTTTTTAAGTAAATCTATTCCATGAGGTTATACCATTGATTCAGTGCTTGATACTGTTCAGTTATGAAGAATGACGTTATTACCTACGATTAGGTAACACCTATGACATATAATTTAAATATTTAAAAAAAAAATATGTTAAAATAAACTGTTTTTAAAGTGGTAAGTTATATTGCATAATAGAAACGCTACAAATCATTAAACAATGGTTTATTATTTCCAAACAATTTAACATCAAAATTAAGATTATTTTCCATATAACATTAATAGTCCGTGGTACAGACCCCTTTTTATCGAGTTATTAACATCTGTCTGAAACTTTGTAAATAGTTTCATCTCATCGTAACCTAAAACTATTTTATTTACGAAAACTCTTGGAATTGGGGCGTTTTCAATTTGGAGGGGAACAAACTTTGTCTATTTAATTGGGTACTAAAAATTCATAAATACCCTTTTGCTTTCTACTTGGTTCGTAAGATAATGTCATCATAAAATCGAGAAAAAAGGTGGCCTTAAAAAATATTGAGCCATTTGGCGTAACCTACACCCCCAAATTTCAAAATAACGAGGTTATGTACGACAAACGGCCCAATATTTTTTAGGGCCACCTTTTTTATCGATTTTGAGATAAAATTATATTACGATCGACGTAGAAAGCAAATGGGTTTTTACGAGTTTTTAGTATCTAATAAAATAGACAAAGTTTGCTCCCCTCCAGATTAAAACACTCCAATTCCAAGAGTTTTCTTAAATAAAATAGTTGTAGGTTAAGATGAGATGAAACTTTTTATGAAGTTTCAGGCAAATGTTAATAATTTGATAAAAAGGGGTCTGTACCACAGGCTATAAGGAAAATAAATAAATAGGGATTCCTAACATTGGCCTTTATAATTTTATTTTTTATCATTTATAATTTGCTTAAAAATTAGACGACATTTGCTACAGTTGATTTAAAACTTTCAAAAAATAAAAGATATAAGCACTGCAGTAGAACATATAAAACATATTTAGAACACTATATCTTTGCTCCAGATTGTCCAATTTGAAAGATTTTTTAGTAAAATTCGTAAACTTTTAAATAATTATATACAGCATTGACAAAAAATCGTATACTTCTTGAGTTATTCGGAAATGTAATTTTACCAATCCTTGTAACTTTTTTTCCAGCTTCTTTTCGTTGAAGTACATTATATAGATAAATTTAAAAGTCATCAAGGAGAAGACTTTAGCCAAGTTTCATTGAAATTGGTACATTCGTTTATGCGCTACAGTCTATACCAACACAGGTTTTTCAGCCACCATATTGGAAGGAAAAGGTGGATAGCAATGTCGAGGTAGGAGGATCATCCTTGGGTGTCCTCTGACTTTGATTCCAAATTTGAAAAATATCGGTCTAGTAGTCTCGGAGAAAAGATGTGGACAGATAATTTTTTTTTTTTCGATTTTCGAATTCTACATATCGTGAAATGCAAAACATCAAATTTTGAGGGAAGTTAAATTTTATTTTTTGAATGATTACAGTGGTTCATTATTACCAAAATCTTAGAATCACTTATACATTTCACACTTGCATCCAAATCCTAGTATGACCATAATTAGTTCTCGCATGAAACATCTCCTGCATATATTTGATTATGTGATGTAGTTTGTATGTAGTCATAAATGTTTTCATAATAATTTCTTTAAATTTAGAATTATTTACATTTGAAAATGCCTAATGTGAGGCCAAACAAAATAGAATGATAATAAGGTAATTTATCTGTTAAATGGAATAAACATAAAAAAAAAACCTTGTGTGTTATACACATTACAGAACTTTCACTTATCCCATTTTGAGTATAAATAAGTATTTTCAAATTAAGGCAAATGGAAGTAAAAATTATAGAAGATACAGTATATTCATTTAAAATAATTAATTTTCATATCTATTAAATTTAGCCATTTTTTGTCACTGTATGACTGTTTATTTTAATTCTTTATTTAATAATATGAATGCCACTTATTGTTTTCAGTCCGATAAGAGTGTCGCAAAGTCATGATAGTCTGATAAGTGTGCCATTGTAAAAAAAAAAAGTTAGATAACCACTGGTGTATAATATAGCAGACATATGAGTAACGTTTTCTATCATTATAGATATTTTAAACATAAATAAAAATTTTAGTTTTCATATTGCTATAATTTATATAATTAAATGTTAATTAATGCTTGAGCTATCATTTATAAAAGCCATACATATACTAAAGGAGTATACATTTTTCTTTCTTACAATACAGCATGTTATGCACCTTCGGAAGTAATCATAAAATTCTGATCATGCTAAAGCTCCCTCAGAGATTACCCGAACTGCCTTCGTTTGTTTTTTTTTTTTTACTTTTTTTCATTATTACTAACACTATGAAATGATTGATTATTTTAAATAAACAAAATTTAAACTTTAGAGTAAGAGATTTTGAACAAAACTGGTATAATTGGCAAAATTTATTGGCATATATATATATATATATATATATATATATATATATATGTATTAAAAGTCCATATCTTTTGAAATAAAATTAGAATAATTAAAATTATTTGATTATAAAGAATCTCTCTCAAAAAAAAGGGAAGAAAACTAGATAAAATATATTTAATTATTTTGGAAGAAATTAAATTATTTCAATGTTCGTACCTGTTGTTATAATTTTATTTTAACATAATTTTGTTTCTTTTTAGTTGACGAGTCTGGTTGGGATTCTGGTTACCCTTCGTCTGTGCAGGACAACTTACGATCACGATCACCCGACCCCTTTGATACTTCCAATGTCTTTCAACCTGATTGGAATTCAGATAGACCATTCGAACCTCCGGACTGGCCCATCAACCATGACCCCATAGTCCCGACTCCAGACTTCGATATCGTAGAAATGGGAACTCAGTCTGTTCCTCCACCTCAACAGCCTCCGCCTCAAAACACATCTCAAACTTATTGTAATGGAGCAGCTTTCGCAGACTCGTCTTTGCCTCCGAATCTTCCTGTGAAACAGAGGAGAGGAAATTACGAACCAGTTGTCAACAACTCTCAAGGGGATTTCATGAATGAACTTCAAAATGTCCTCTCGAAAAGAAGCGACATTCCAAAATTGGATCCACCCAAAGGTAAAAGCTTATCAGTTCGTAACAAGTGGGAAAGCAAAGATATAAACTTACGTAGCGAAAGAACACAGTCAGCTTGGTATGGAAATCTGGATCCTTACGCTCCGACGCCATTACCTGTCGAAGCGAGAAACGATGAACTCAATCAGAAGAATTTAGAGCTCATAAATCGGTTATCCAGTATGAAATCTTCTATGGAAACCAAAAATGCTCTATATAATAGAGTATCTCCAGTCAGTTTTAATCAGCCGGCAGAATATAACAATTTAACAGCACTTCGGGAACCGCAGTTTGGCAGTACAAGATCGGTCAATGAAAATAGTTCTTACGATAAGTACGCAGCTTTTTCGCAGTTTAGAAATATCGACCAGAGTTCGAATGCACCTGCTTCGAGTTCAAATGGTGTTGCTTATAGTAATGCACCTTGTTCCAGCGATGTTAGCGTTACCTCGAATACTTACTCCCAGCTGAACTCTGTGTACAGTTCAACGTCTCGGTATAACGATGTAGAGACTGGCGCCTATGGCTGTTCATCAAAGTATATAAACACGGAGGACGATCTGTCTGAAAAAATTGGCCAGATGTGGCTCAATTCTAAGGGAATGTCGAAAGACAGTATCAAAATGCACAACCAGTTAGTTGCAGAATGCAAAAAGAAAGCTCGGAACCTGTACGATCCTGTTGAGGCTAACTATCAGAGGATAAATTACTGTTCGACTAACCTTCAGGTAATTTAATTTTTGTAATTACTGCATGCTCCAATTTGTTTATTTAGCAAAATATTTTATATCTTTCATGAAACTTCTGAAAATTTTGTTTTGTTCCAATTTATTACTTAATTTGTAAGAAAAACAAAATATAATAGTGTTCTTTAATAATTTTTTATCTAGCTAATGATAAAAAATAATGCATTAAGTATAATTTTGGTGTGATGGTGGACAGGAGTGAAGACAAACCTTAAACCTTAACTAATCCAATCCATCAGGTGTTATAAAATATTGCTTATCGCTTCTTTTATGTTTTATTCATTGAAATTAAACTGGCTAAATAAAAGATTAAATTTTATCATATTATATTTTGAGCATAAAATAATGAATGGTTAGGGATGAAGAAAGAAAAATATATATTTCAACTCTTGCTGTTATTTAACAATCTTAAGAGGTTCAAGCCCAGGTTTAAATCCGGCTGATGACTAGTAATTTGTCATCAGCCGTGAGTCGATCCTGGGGCCTGGAGACCTTCCTGGGGCTCCAGCTTCTTTAAGGTGGGTACTCTTAATTATGGGGGAAAACCTGGCGGTTGAGCGTGATATTGGCCCGTCACCTCCCTGCACAACCCTTTGGCCTCATAGCGGTACTTCCTCACATTGTATTGAACCCGAGACCCTTCATGGGTTGTTAATGGTACAGGTTAAAAGAGATTCAAGTATTAGCTTAGGTTGAACTGAACATTGAATTTTTAATGAAAATAAAATAGAATAAATTAATGAAAATAATTTAAATTGAAGATGGATTTAAAAAAATACTCCTAGCATCGCCTTATAATAATGACAAATCTGAGAGGGCTCCCTCCGTGAATGAACAGCTTCCTTATCATGAAGTCCTCTTGGAGGAAGTCGGACACAAAGAGAGATGCAACTCCTTCCGAGAGTGGTTACACAATGATTTAACTTTCTAATAATTCTTATAGCGAGCCTGATTCAGGACATTCTCCAGAAATGATTAGCTGATGTATGCAATAAAAGTAGACGTTAGCTGTCCTATTTAAATAAAAAAATATATTTTATAAAATCTAATGAATTAACTAAATTATTTTCTATATTAGTTGATATGTTGCCTGGGATGTTATAGCAACTTTTTCTTCAAAATTGGCTGACCAGAAGTGGCACTTTATCTAATCAATTTTACACATTTTCACAATTTTCTCAAAAACGGCTCTAACGATTTTGATTGAATTCATTATATCAGTGTAAGATTAAGCAGTTTTTAATACAATGTAGGTTTTATTCTCATTGATGTTCTATAAGAGCACTTAAATGGCTAATTGTCAATATTAGCTTCTCCTGTCGTAAACCAACGACTTTCTGTCCTATTAGTTGTATTTTATATCAGAGAAATAATAATACAAACTAGTTGGCCCGTGCGAATAATTCGCATTAGATTTTGTTTAGTGAAGAAATAGCAAAACAATATGGAAATAAGTAGATCCTATGTATTATTTAAGGGAGGAATTAATATTTTTTGCCTTGGTCGGTTACAATATTACATTTAACGTAATAGACCAAAATATTTTTACAAATTGCTTTGCTTCGACCTATTTTTAAACGTTGACTGGAAAGATAATAAAAGTAATTAAGACGAAATAAAGCCTCGATCATGGAATTTTCTAAATTATTAAAAAAAATAAAATGTAAGAACAAACAAATGCCTTTAGAAAAGTAATAAATTTAATATATCAGCCAGGAAAAAAAGTTTATTAGACTATTCTACTCCTAAATACAATATCTCTAAAGAGGAAGATATTATTAAGAGTATTAAAACTAATGGACTGTATCTATGTAAATAATTGTCCAATTTTTTTTTTTTTTTTTTTTTGTAGGTAATTTAGTAATCTTTCTAATTATCATGGGTACAATATAGAAAAAAATGTATACTTTTTGAGTTATTCGCAAATAAAGTTTCTTTTTCTTCATAACTTTTTTCCAGAAATTTCGGGGAAATAGGACTATTTTTTGCATGTGAAGGAAAAGAATTTCTTCAAAATGAGTGGTCAATCATTGGATTTGATGAAGAATTGACAAAGTTATAGCGTACCGACAAAAAAAACCCCTTTTAGAAATAATATATAGGATATTTGGTTGAAAAGTTTTTTTTTATACAACCTATTAGGATAAAAACAAATTTATATTTCTTACTATTAATCTCAGGAGCGGGGTAGCTCAGTGGAAGGGCACTGAGCTTCCAATGCAAAGGTCCCGAGTTCGAACCCCGGCTCATGGCAGAAAATTTATTTATCTGTTTCATTGGCCGTGGGGCGACCTTGGGTCAGAAAGTCCCTCCTTGGGCACACCCAGCTTCTATAAAATGGGTACCCTTAATTAAATAATTAATTAAGGGGGAAAACCTGGCGGTTGAGCGTGATCTCGGTCAAATCACCTCCTTGCACAACCGTTGACCTAGAAACAGTGCTTTCCCTAAATAGTACTGAACCCCAGATCCTTCATGGGTTATAGTGGTACAGGTTTTTTTTACTATTAATCTCATCTTGATGTTTTTACTTCTATCGTGTGGCCTAAAGTACATACCGCAGTTTTTTTTAAATTAAATGTTTCTGTATTTAAATCTTGTAGGAAGAACTATTAAAAAATATGCTTAATCTCAAACACCTCCTTTTAAAATTATGTTAATATTGATTCTTGAATTGGGTTAATGGCAGAACGAGGACGCCGTCAGAGAGCTGATGAGGGCTGTTGAAGGTGCAGAAGAAGAAGAATGCAAGTCCGCGCTCCAGGCCAACGGCTGGGACCTCCAAGCCTCCCTTAGGTATATCAAGCTCCAGAGGCTTCTAAGGTGAAGAATATATTTATATATTTATATTTACTTATATATTGGTCGAATAATTGTTTTAAGTTAGAATATAGTTTTGTTTATTATTATTTACTAGTAGGCCCGTGCCAAAAATTCGCACAGCATATTGTTATCAAATGCTAAATTAATAAGAAAAGAAAATAATGCAACGTATCAAAAGATAAAGAAATCAATTGTCACTTTATCGATAAATATAATCGACAAAGTAAACAAAAATTAATTTAAATCTTCATTAATGTTTGGAACCAACATATTTACAAATTTCAATAAGCTGTATCTTTGCCAAAAATTGTCCAATTTTGATAAGTTTTTTTTTTCCTTTTGTAGGGAATTTAGTAATCTTTTATATAATCATGGGCATAACCCAGGGAAAAGTGTGTTTTTAGTTATTCGTAAATAAAGTTTGTTTTCTTTCATAATTTGTTTGCCTGAATTTTCGGGGTGATTGGACTATTTTGCCCGCCTGAAGGAGAAGGAAGCCTTCGAAATTGGTGGCTCAATCTTGAGATTTGGTGAAGAATTAACGATGATATTGCTCGCCGATCAAAAACACCTTCGATAAATAATATAAACTCCTCCTCTCTCGAACATAGGGGCCTCAAGTCGACGAAATGAGACATGTATTCAAGGGTTGTGTGGATGTGAACCCTATCCCTTGCGTTATCTCAAAAATAGTACGTTTTTTGGGCTTAAAAACGCAGGATCCGTTATCCGGGTCTTGCTATACGCATCAAAATCTTCAAGATCCAATTTTCCTGTATCGATCTACAGGCCTACCACCGTTCCAGTATTGAAGCCTAGAAAAATGTTTGTATCGACTTTATTTATTTTAGAAAGAAAACCAAAAGTGGAGAATACGATTCGCTAATTCCCCATGAAATTCTGAATCCAACGGTACCCCATTCATGGTATTTGAGCATGATAGGAGCTTATATTTGGTACAAAACAGATTTTGAGCCTTACTGTAATAATATATGTGAGGATTAGTTTTGTTTTCAAACCTATCATACAAAATTAATTTTAAAAAGATAGAAGGGAAAAACTTGATGTTTTAAGTTATATTACCTTCTTTTTTAGTGAGGTAAACTGATTTTGAACTGTAGACCTTATATAGGTCAATTATTTAGTATAATTACTTAATAATAAATATTACACTTGCAAAATCATTACAATACATTGTGAAGTAATCAGGTGTATTGTATTTGTTTAAACTACATGACCTCTGTTAAGGATTATAAATTAAAATAATAATTTATTGTTGCTTTAGTTTATTAAAACCAGTTGAAAAATATAAGATTATATTATTAAACACTCGTAATTTTAATAAACGGCTATCATCAATAAACATTATGAATTTAATCATAGCTGTAAAAATATGGCGTCTTAATGAAATACGAGATAATTCCTAGTTGGCGCCCTATGCAAAAATACTATCTACAAGTGTAAATCTATCTCGTCGGTGGACAGTCAACATTATAAATAAATCTCTTTATTGTATAAACAAGTTTTTAGTGAACGTCTAATATTTTAGTTTCAATTCTCAACAAATTAAGATTCTAGAATTATCTCTATTATTTAAAATGTTTTTAGTGGCTGTATATATATTTTTTTTTTTTGCCTGCTTACACTATATTGAAATAAATAATTTAATATAAACTACAGAATAGTATGTAAATTACAGTTATACAATTTGAGGAACGAGTAGTTCAATTAAATAAACAGGTATATAAATTGTAAAATGGGGGTTGGTCTGCCATTAGGCAGACAAAGGTTATACTCTTAGTTTTTATTAATGAAAGTTCAAAACTTATATTTTTATGTAGTAATGTATATCTATAAAAAATGCAAATGTTGTCATGAATTAATCTTGGTTCAATAAAGCTTATTCCTTTTGTGATTAAATGATTTAAATTCAATATATTATTTTTATTTATTTTTTATTTTTCAGGCTGGGCATAGCAACAAACGAAGAATGTAGGCTAGAATTAGAAAAATGCAATTGGGATGTTGTTGTCGCAGCCTCAAGGCTATTAGACCGGGATAAGACGTGAGGTAAAAATAAATATATAGACATATCTACTTATTATAATCAGTTAACTCAGTATTAATTATTATTATTATTATTAAAATTATATTGTATACTTAATGCAAGAAGGAAATGGTTTAAAATTCTGTCTCAGAAAAAAAAAACATCAAATAAATTATAATTATTTATAAGATACCAATGTTTCGACCTTTTAGTAGTTCTTCATCGGGACTAAAAATTGAAGACGTAAAAAGGTAAAACTATTTTAGGATTATTGATATAAATAAAATATTTTGTAAAATCTAATGAATTAACTAAATTATTCTCTACATTAGTTGATATGTTGCCTGGGATGTTATAGCAACTTTTTCTTCAAAATTGGCTGACCAGAAGTGGCACTTAATTTAATCAATTTTACACATTTTCACAATTTTCTCAAAAACGGCTCCAACGGTTTTGATTAAATTCATTATATCAGTGTAAGATTAACCAGTTTTTAATATAATGTAGGTTTTATTCTCATTTATGTTCTCTAATAGGGCTTAAATGGCTAATTTTCAATATTAGCTTCTGTCGTAAACCAATGACTTCCTGTCCTATAGTTTCCTTTAACAATACTCCACTTATCCCTGTTGAGCAAATCCGCTACCTAGGAATCCACCTGGACAAACAACTAATTTGGAATCCTCATACCAGACTGAAATGACAAGAAACCGCTAGACATTTCCAATTACTTCAGCACTTACTAGACAAACACTCTAAACTTCCAATTAATTACGAAAGACTCATATACATGACTATAATGAGGTATATTTGGACTTACGGAGTTGAGCTATGGAGCTCCACTAAGCCATCGAATTCCTCTCGTATCCAATCTTTACAATCCAAAATCCTTCGTAAAATCCTCAATGCTCCCTACTTTGTTACAAATAAAACCATCCATAATGAACTTAATGTTTCTTCTGTTTCAGATCTGGCCCAACCCAGATACCTATCCTTCCATAATAAACTTCAGAATCATCCCAACCCTCTCATTTCTAACCTTGCTTCCTCTTCGATTCCTGATAACCCTCACCTGAAAAGAAGATGGCCCAGTGATCTTTTAATTTAGACATATCATTAGAGTGCTACCATTGAGTAGTTACTCAGCAAGTGTTTGCACGTCATTATATCCATATGTTCAAATTTACTAAATGTATTTCTTTAATACAGTTGTAAATATCATTAAGAAATAATTTTTAAAAAAAGCTTCTCCTTAAAGTACCTTTAATTTTTTTTATTTGGAATAATTAACCATTTCACAATTAACTCTTATAAATAACGTTTTTCAGGAGGCAATTGTAAATAACCTGTAGGACGGCAATTGTAAATAGCCTTCCGTTTTGTGTCGGGGTAGGTCGAGATAGGTTATTTACACTCATGAATTTTAATTTTAAAACTAAACCCTGGCACTGGATATATATAGACCTTTTGAGAGCGTTTACTGTTGTTGGGAATTCGGGAATCTAATGCTTTTGAGATTCGGAGTGACAAGAAATAATTAGAACATATATATATATATATATTTGAAATGTGGGGCTGAATAAATACACTTGAATGAATTGACTCACCTGGTTTATTATTCTTCAATTGTGAGGCCTATAGGACAACTAAATAAAAGGACTATTCACTCCAGTATAACAAAATAATTTATTTTGATAACTGTAATAAATGAATCTATTAAAGTCTTATAACTGTAGGCTTGATATTCTTAATCTTCTGTGTAGTAGGCTTCTCTTCTCAGGTAACATCCTTCCTTCCTCCTGTCCTAGCCTTAAGTGTTTTCTTTGTTCTGTACCTTTTTCGTCGATTCTTTATCGATTTGATGATTTTCAGTAAACCACCCGTCCGCTGCACAATTGAGTACCATTCATAGTGCAACCTTACATTCCTTCTCATTCCCTCAGTCAATGTCACATTAAGGAGTAAATACTAGAGGCAATCTACTACACTCAGATAAAAAAATATTTATTTTTTTTTTTTTATTTCTTTATGACATTTACAACTGTATTACATAAATACATCAAGAAAATTTGGACATAATTGATATAATGACATGAATACACTTGCTGAGTAACTACCCAATGGTAGCACTCTGATGATATGACTACATTAGGAGATCACGGGGCCATCTTCTTTTCAGACGCCTCGGAGGGTTATCAGGAATTGAAGAGGAAGCAAGGTTAGAAACGAGAGGGTTGGGATGATTCTGAAGTTTATTATGGAAGGATAGGTATCTGGATTGGGCCAGATCTGAAACATAAGGAACATTAAGATCTTTATGGATAATTTTATTAGTGACAAAGTAAGGAGCATTGAGGATTTTACGAAGGATTTTGGATTGTAAGGATTGGATGCGAGAGGAATTCGATGGTTCAGTGGAGCCCCGTAGCTCAATTCCGTAAGTCCAAATAGGTCTTATTATAGTCAAGTATATGAGTCTTTTGTAATTAATGGGAAGTTTAGAGCGTTTGTCTAGTAAGTGCTGAAGTAATCGGAAACGTCGAGCGGTTTCTTGTCGTTTCAGTCTAGTATAAGGATTCCAAGTTAGTCTTTTGTCCAGGTGGAGTCCTAGGTATCGGATTTGCTCAACAGGGATAAGTGGAGTATTGTTAAAGGAAACTGTAGGACAGGAAGTCGTTGGTTTACGACAAAGGGTAAAGGTAATTTGGTGGGATTTATTGGAGTTTATTTTAATTCTCCAGTTTTGACACCATTCTTCTAGATTTATGATGTGTGATTGAAGTATTTGGGATGCAATTGCTGGGTCATTGTTTACTGATAGGATACATGTGTCATCGGCATATGTGGTGATGACAGTGTTGGGACAGGTAGGGATGTCAGCTGTATAAACTGTACAGCTCTGCCTCTGCAGGTAGAGGATAGGACCTAGGATACTACCTTGAGGAACACCAGCAGACTGGGAAAAAAGGGATGAATAGGCGTTATTGTGATTTACTTTAAAGTATCTATCAGTAAAGTAGGAACGGATAATGAGGAAGTATGTAGGTGGTAGGAATTTTCGGAGTTTGTACAGCAGTCCCGGGTGCCAAACTCTATCAAACGCCTGAAAAAAATATTTAAATACAAAATATGAAAGTATCTGATGATTAACTAAAGGTGAAGTTAGAGATCATAACGAAGAATAGTTGTAATAGAGGAACAAAAGGAATATCTTTCATACGTAACATGAGCTTAATATAATAAATAAAGATAAACATATGCGGTTTTATTATAAATGCTATCGTTTGTATTATTTAATATTTAATTGTATAGATTACCGAGATATTAAAATTAAAATTTGTATAAATGCCGATACAAACAAATAAAAATACCCACAATGAAATATAAATAAATATAGCGGCCTTCTTTATCAGTGGCACTCTTGTCGGACTAAAAATATTTCGTGGCACTTAATTGTTTATTATAATCAAATAAATATAATACATCAGATGGCGCTGAAAAACATATGGTCATTAATTGTTTTAAATAATGTTTCATACCGTTTATAATTTTTACTTTCACTCCACTTTGTCTGAAAATACTTATTTCTGCTGTGGTGAGTAAAAGTTGTGTGATGGCACCACACCAGATTTTTATTTTTATTTCATTTTTAAGGAGAGAAGTGTGATAAATTTTATGAGAAGGAGTTGATCGGGGGGTGCGGTCAAATTAATACAAAATTAAACAAGTAGAATTATTTAATTTTTGCCGACATTTCTAATTAAATAAAATAATTAAAACTAAATAATTCTACTTGTTTAATTTTGTATTTATTTGACCGCACCCCCCGATCAACTCCTTCTCATATTATATCAACGGTCAACCATCTCTACTTCATTGTGATAAATTTTGTTGAGGGGGGACGCACCGTCACCCTTGAGGGTATGAACCACTCTATGTAGACTCATTAATGAATTCACAAAAGCAAAAATATAAATTTTCATTTAAAAAAAAGAACAAACTAAGGTTATCTGTTTTGATTATTTTTTTTTCATGTTTTTAGGATCTTCCAATGTCTTGCTGTGATCTTCCAGTGGTCTATTCACTACTACGGCTGAAACGATGCAGTATTCTAAAGTGTATTCGATGTAATTTAAAGCTGTGTTATCGATTGTAAGCCTTTAGCAGTATAGATACAATCTGCTTTTGTTGTGAACCTACTTTATTTTTTTGTTGTTAACCATGAGTTATCGTTTCATGTTAGTAATATCGTTTAAGAATTAGTTTAGGTTACATTACCTGACATTATTTTTATTTTCATAAAAAATATACGTGTCAACGTTTTACATGTTATGCTTATTGCGCGTGCGCTCTTTAGTTAGGCTATTATTATAGATATTCATATATATGTATATTTTTATTTCATTTGAAGACATTTTTATTATAATAGCTGACATATATTTGTAGAGTAATAATGATTACAATAAAGTAAAAGATGATAAAATATGTTCTTAAAGAATAAATGGATTTTTTTAAAAACGAAAATAAAAGAATGAAATCAAAATTACATATTATTTTTTTATTGTTGTAGGAAATTATTTTTATTAATTAGTAACATATTTTATGAAAGAGCTATTTCTATGAACGTTATTAATTATTGTGGAACTCTGATAAAGGATAGATTGTTTAAAATTAAAATAAATTAATATTTATTTGGAACTGTTTCTTTATACAGTACACTTCTTGATTGTCATATTTTGAATACCATCAGCTGCTGCTGAAAAATTCAGACAAATCGAACTATCTTAAACGAACAGTTCCTTTCTCTTGCCAATTTAATATTAATATGTACGCTAAAAGAAAACTTATGTTACAGGTTGAGAATTGTTTTAATCTATCCATAATTCCAGAAGAAAAAAAAAAAAACTTATCAAACAATACTAAGGAATGAACTAAGCAAGTTATAAATAAAAACTAGTAATCAGGGTTCCATCGCATTATATTCTTATCAGTTTCTATATTTTATTATTTACTTAACTATCA